TAGGCGGGACGGACATTTAAGCCGGATTATCTGACAGTAATCTAGTGAGACTCCCCACGGGGATAGATCGATCTAAAATCTATGGGAATGCGCCCAAAGATTCAAGGCATTATCTCTATACCGGTTCTGTTCATAATCAAACTTATGTTCAAATGTGATATTATATTATATTATAAATGTATATATTCAGAAGATAATATATGTACTATTTTTAACATTTTATACAGTTTACTAAGTTTGTGGAAAGGGGCAAATTTTCAGATGTTAATAAGTGCACAACATGCAGCAGTCTATTTTCAAGTTTATAATGGGTGCAGTCTCAGATTAAGATTTAGAATCAACAATGTATGAAATTCAAGATTAAAGATAGGGAACGGTTTCAATTAATTATCACACGCAGAATGAATTAACACTGGAGTTCAGTTAAACAACATATTTTTCTTCTGTTGAAGCTTTTAAAATCTGATTAGCAAAAAGTTTCATAGAATAGGGATAAGAGAAAGAGAATCATTCCAGCGGCTTCTTTGATGAAAAAAGACTTTTATACCAAATTCGTCTGTATTTAACGTTGTAAAACTTTAATCTGGTTTCTTTAATACTGATTACAGTGATTTAACATTCATTCAGTTCTGCGATTATCTCCTTATGTTTAATACTTTGACTTACTAAATCTGTACATTGTTATGGTAGAATTTTATTATAACTTTTACTGTTATACGAGAACTGCTTTGGCAATCCTTCTACAAACGCCCCTGTGCCTAAACGAGTCTGAAGACTTTATTTAAATATTTGTGCGTACTGATCTGTTTACAATGTGCAAACTTATTATATACTTAAAATAGCCTGTTAAATTCTGAAGAAACTGTAATGACGTGGCTGTCCTGTAGCTTGTGATAAAAGTTTTTTATGAACTATAGTTTAACATTTCACAACCATTCCCGAACTATTACTCAAGGGTGCATAAAATTGAAATATGTATCTCGAAATACTTTACACATTCTGATTGTTAAAGAAATCTCTAGGCTGTCTCTTAAGTTTTATTTAATTTTAATTTTAATACATTATGTTAATTTTAATGCATTATGTTTTATCGTGATCACAAACGTTTATTAACTGTGTTTAGGATTGTCCTAACTATTTTATGACTTAACTACAGTATATGCAATATATTTTAAATAAAATATTTTAAGATGCTTTTCGTTTTGATTCCTGTGAGCGACATAGACCATCGCCTTTGACGGCTAAATTCAGGTAGCCGACTCTTACTTTGCGCTAATGATGACATGGCATACCCAAATAGGCCGCAGTTATTACCGGCAGTAAAAAATCTGTATATGATATTAGTTAAAAGACCAAAAGAACGAAGTAGAAGACCCAATACATTCTTTGTAAAAATGCGGCTCGTCGGCTTAGACGTTAGCTAAAAAAAAAACTGACCGTAGTTCAATTTGTGCAATGGGCTGAGGGCATGTTTTAACACAAATTACATTAGAATTCATATTGCCATGCAGTTGAGTCAACTGCTTCTCGGCACCATGGCGACGCAACGGAGGTGGCACGGATTCGCCATTAACTTAGCAAATTATCCCTTAATTTCTCCCCTGACTAGATTAATGTCGTATCACTTTAAATTCACTTCACTTAATGCGAGCTGTTTTTACTCCCAAGAGAAGGATTTGTTACAAAGCTAGCTGGGTCGGAAGAAAATGTGACATTGATCTTAAATTTGTGATAAGAGTTCAAAATGGAAAGACAGGTAGGGCTAGATGACCGTATTTCACCTACTGAGATAGCATACGAGAGACGGGGACCTCTGTATTGTGGTGCATTTCTTTTCTAAAGTGGACGAAATATATTCAATATTTGCCCTGGGAAAAGATCAGTTTCAAGCAATGCTCTATACATTTTATAGCAGAGGGTCATACATTGGATCATCGTATCGCCCCTATCAAATCATACGAGAGACGGGGACCTCTGTTTTATGGTGCATTTCTTTTTTGAGTCGGCAAAAATACTGTATACAGTAGTTACCCTGGGAAGACATCAATTAAAGCAATGCTTGATTGTATAGCAGAGAGCTATACATATGTTATTTGGAATGAGAATCGCCAGAAAGAGGACTAAAGCGTTTTATTCTCCCACTAGTCAGCTTAAGTCCCTTCCTCAGAAGGGCATCTGCTGGGCTGGCGATCGTCTTGCCACTGTGACATTACCTATACCTATTACCTATAGCTCAGATTTTACCCAGATTGGACCTTTTCCTGACAAAAAGGGCTGTTCTTTCGAACCTCCCGAACCCCCCTGGCTACAGGCCTGTTAACAATAATATGTATATGTAAATGGACTTGGCGTAGTCATATTACTGGTGACACGCAGCGTATGCACTGATATTTAAAGGTACCCAGCAGAGATGGGGTGGTTAAAGTTGCCCCACCCTTTCCACCTGCGCATTTATATTTCTTTGAGAGTAACGGAATTAGGGCCTATTTCGAAGCACAGAGTTTATAAACCCACAAAAAAACTTCATCGACAGTGGTGTGTATTCTAAATAAGTATAGTTTCCCCAAACAAAAATATTCTCTTCAATCAACAGCTTAACATATAATATTTCCACTCCGGTTTTCACTGTCTACAGTTTATAGTTATTTAGCAATTTCAAAGGAAGAGGGGATGCATGAAGATTGAGTCTTTTTACTGCAAAAATTATATATGTTTCAATACTGGCATAGAACCTGAAAATACGGATTCAGAGTGGTCGTTTTCCAGGCCCAAAGGGCGGTTCTTTCGACCCCCGTCTCTTATTGTTTCAACAAGTGGTATTGGCTTCTTGCATGAGTTTTGGTGGTGTCTTTAGGCGCTGAAATATTGGAGTGAAACAACTGTTGTTCGAAGAAAATTTGATGGTTACTTTGAATTTTATGAACTATGTTCGTTTGGGCTTCACTTCCTAAGAGAAAGGGAGTGGGGCTGAATTTAGTTTTTGAAGAAAAAAAAAGATGAGGGGCGTCCATGCAGTCGAAGCCCTACCCTGGTTTAACAGATCGACTTGGGACTGCGAGGCATAGGGCCTACTTTGGAATACATTCCTGCTTATTTGTGTTTTACATCAGAGGCCATCTTGGTGGTGTCGGCATTTCTGTGCAAAATTTTTCACCTTGTACAATAGGCAAAGGCAGAAAAGTGCACAGAAAAGTGCACAGATAAACCAGATAATGTCTGAAAATATCTCGTTTCACTTTGACCCTCCCTGGTAAGGGTACCTAATATAATACGCCTATGGAGCGCCTCGAAGCCCCGTGACCAGGCTGTCTTTATTTTAAAGATTGTTCTTTGAGTCTTTCACACGACGAAAGAGAAGTATCTTTTCATGTTCAGGTCTTTTGCTGAGCTTGCTTTGTTCGATATAATAAAATGTAGAAATACGAGTACTAGAGATTCAACGAAAACGGTCGAGGCACGAGCATGCACGACAAAATGTCTTCTGTTATTCAAAACTCAACTTTGCTGGAACTGATTTCGGGATTGATAGACTGTTTATCACCATAGCTTACATTAAGGTGAAAATGTGGGACTAAGGTGACCTTACAGCTCAGAGAGGAGAAATGTATGGACTGGATTGAACTGGCTGAGGTGAGGACTACAAAAAGCCTGCACGACATTTCAAAAGAGTTCCAGGACAAATAAAACGTTTTATTTGTACAAGAAAAGAGGCAGCTATCTGGAAAGAGTATGATCACCGACCCTTCAGACATAATTTTGTCGCATTATCTCCGCATTCATGGTCTGTCGCTTTTGGCCGATACACATCGCAATAGGATTCCATTTTCCTTTAGATTTGTATTTTGTACCTAGATTTCCGTTTCAGCTTAGTTAAGACTGCTAAACTAGGATAGACCACTGTGAAAATTCCAATTTGCAGAACTAGTCTTAGGACATTTCGCAAACTATTAACCGGAATTAAATGTAGATATCCTACTTAGATATGCTTATAACCACCACTGTGAGTAAAAATTAATGTCAAGGAAAGAATAATTTAGTCTTGAGGCTTTGTAATAACTCTAAAAAAGATGAGCAGCATTGAAGATCTTTCGTAAATTTGTCAGGTCAAGCTGATTTTAAAA